CTATGAGGTGTAGACTTGACTTACCTGTCTGATGCATGTAGACAGGAAACAAAGTCATTGTAGTCTGAATGAGTTCATGAATGGATTGGCAACAGATCTGTTTGGACTTGACCACATCTGCTGCTATGGAACTGACCTGGTCAGTCAGAAGCTGGAGGGTCCATTTTACACACGGCTTGGCTGCAAAAAAACAGGCGAAAGCTTTTTAAAATAGAAATATACCAAATTCTTATAACACTCTTCTAACTTCACTTATAATAGCAATTTGATCTAGGATGAAAAAAGTCAGTTAAATATTAACTCCTTTGTTGAATTAAAGAACCGGTGTTTGGGTTGATACATTAGGCCTGTGGCATTAATTAAAATATACCAAAGGCTTTGTAAACAGTACCGTCTTAATTCCACATGAACACTGCCTCATCTACAATCCATCAACTTACCTTGATCCTGTAAGCTCTTGCTTTGTGCCAGAGACTCCATAGTCTTTAGTTGTTGGTACTGTGTTGTAAGCTGTTTAATGAAAGTTTCATGGTGTGCTGCCCTGGACTGCCAGTCTTGGTCACCCTCGGCCAGATTAGGCCAGGGTAGGAGAAGATGGTTTGACAGTGCTCTGTACAGTAATAACTGGACCTGAAGTTGAGGAGAAAAAAAATTAAAGATACTATTTTGTAACAGAATGCAAATATCTGTATACCATGGGACATCATATAATATATATATACAATAAGTGGTTGGGAATTCAGAATGCAAGTCTCTTGTTGAAAACTTAACTTTTGCACAAATTGTTCTTACCTCTGTGGTCAAATCTGCACATGACCCTTGACTGGCTTTGTTGTACAAGGTTTGTATCTCTGGTAGTCTTAGCAAGAATGCAGGTCTCACTGTAGTCATCAGTGTTAAAAGCAAATGTGCTGCAGAGTGGACAATTTTATCTGGAATCTTAAAAAAAAAAGAGAATCTTGTTCAGTAAAATTTGTTTAAATTTTTATTGAATGGAAAACATTTAAACCATTACAGTAAAATCAAATTTCAATATCTACATGTGAAATTCAATACTTTTGGTGAGAAAATTTAAGATATCCCTACTATTGACGAAAGATAAAATAAGAAATCTATTCAACATTAGTCAGATTTAAGTTTACATTTATGATCACTGACTACATGTACCTCTTTTTCAAAAAGTGGGATGCAGGTGTGGACAACTGTCATAATCAGCTGCTCACACTTCTGTCGCTGCTCCTGATGCTTGTACGATTCAACATAGTATTCTGCCAACCAATGGGAGTAAGCCTTCATGGCTGCCAAAGCTTGAGCATGTCTTAAATATTATATAATGGAATTTTAATTTTCATTTTATGAAATTATGATTCTTCTTTATAATTGTGATAAAAGATAATAGTATTGGTATATTTTGGTAAAAACCCATAATATGTGCCTGTCACACGTGGGGAATTAAATACACCATAACTTTCATGAAGATTACTGGAGCACATGGGTTATTACAAACTTGTATTGTATCCAAAAATAACTACTTCCCCTATCACACAATGAAAACATCTTAGCACAGAACTATATACTTACACCTCGATGAAATCTGCATGAAGAACATTTTGAGCAAAGGTGCTGACTTCATACAATTTGACTTTGGTTCCATACACACAGCACTGGACAACTCTGAAGAAGATGGAATGTTATGCAAATGTGTATGAATGTATGTATGTTGAAAAAATCTACATTACATATCAACGTAACACTTATGATAAAACTTTTTCTCCAAGTAACATAGCTTAAAGATATCTATCAATAATACTCACTAATCAAAAATACCCACAAAACTTAAAGCAACTAAGAATAGAGAAAGTTTAAAAGGCAAACTTAAAAAGTTACTCCAGTCCTATCCACACCCCTATGTATTATAATGACATTACTTTGAAATCAAGGTCTGAGCATCATGCAGTCTCTGTGAAAAGAACTCCCCAATGAAGTGATCCACCAGTCTCCCCAGAGCCTGTAACGATGAGGACAAATCCCTCATGCTGCAATGTAGACGGCGACACTCATTTTCTGCAGGGATGTTCAGCTTCCTCCCCTGTGGGCCATTGGTAAGAAACTGCTCCAAGCCCAGGTAAATCTCCATGTTGTCACTGAATGGCTGATACTACATAGAAAGAACACAAAGAAATGCTTGATATCCAAAAGACATTTCCCTGTTAAAGATAATAATGATAACAACAGAGCAGAAATACTTGGGTTTCTTACTTTAAATATCCTTTTGCTGGTCTCGAAATCTGGGCATCAGCATGTTATGCAACTGTAAAAATTCTCAGAACCTCCAAGTATAACTTCATATCCCTGTCACAACTTACCACTATCCGAAAAACATCAGGTGGAAGAATTTCTGCAACCTTAGCAACATTCTCTAATGACTGTCTTAGGAAGTGCTGCCATTCTGTTTCTGACTGGAAAAAAAAAAAAAAAAAAATAGAAATGCAGAATATAAAATATTAGAAAAAGATAAACTCTGAAACTTATGATTTTAGAGAGACCGTGAGAGATAGAGAGAGAATATGGATTTAGTGATAGTTCTACATGCTATACTCACATCATCATCTAGAGTTTCATCATCCAGTGTCTCTAGTTGAGATTGGTTAAAACGGAACTGTAACTTCTGCAGAATCTGACTGACCAGTGATACCAAGGCTTCTTTATACCTGATTGGAATTGCATCGAAAATATGTTTTAACGTATTCAATAAAATGGCATTCAAAGCATAAAAAAAGTTTTGCTAATTATTTTTTAAATCACATATAATTAAATTAGAAAGAACATCAACAAGCACATTAATAATCATAAATTTAGACAGCAAGGCTGGCAAATATACAGACTTTGGATAAAAAAAAAAGAAACAGGAAGTCTACCAGTCTACATGTGACTGTCACTTATAAAGACAAATCATTCTTGAAAATATTAGCAGTTCTTAAGTTGAACAAGTATGTGTATGGTGACAGCGATGGCAACAACATGCATGGAAATGTGATGTGAGTTTATACAGTCTTTTACAGTCTGATCATTAAAATATTTCACAATCAGGAGTGTATGGTGATCTCTTTGACTCAGTCATTCAAAACCTCACTTTGAACTCCACCAGACAAGATTACTTACTTGGAAATTATGGCATTCACATCTAGTGCACGGTTTGTCAATTTGACATTGAGATAGTCTAAAAAGATGGTCCATATATCCAAGCATCCATAGTATCCTTCATGAGTGGGCTGAAATAACAAATCGAGCAACATTTGAGATAAAAAATATATATATCAGTTTCTAAAATAACTGATTCTTTATAAATGATCTCACTACACTTTATTTTAATATCATTTTGCTACATTCACAAAACTGTATTTAATAACTGCACTAGTCCACAAAATAAGCATTCACTTCTAAGTATCTTATTGGAAATCATTGTAATAGATACAGTACACAAAATTTTCAATGGCTTCCTAACAGACATATGACCATAGAAACAAAATTGCAAAAGGATGCTCTGCTGAACTGGTTTTCTGTTAATAATTTAAAACATCATTCCCCAATTGCATATCTCTGGCGCTAGATACACGTAATTTGCATCAGCGCATACAAGACGTCCGCTAATTTAAGACAATGCATTTTACCTGCTATACTCAAGGGCAGTGCCGACCTTAAAACTGACAAAACTATTGCCTTACTTGTAACTTTCTTTAACCTTTCCCTCTTCTCCTTACAGCGCATTAAAAGACAATACTAGGACTAATCTCATACCTGTTTAAATGTGTACTTAAATAACAATGCCAGGAATTCAAGGACTGGAAAGGAGTTGGTGTCCTCAAATCGTCGAAGGTGAATGCTGACAAAAAGTCTCAGAAATTCTGTGAATTTCTCAATGTAACTGAAAGGGAGTTGAAAAAGTTATAAAAACAAAATAGGAAACATTTTTGATATTTTTCTTACTTTAAGCAACTAATGGATATTTTTTTTATAAACCAAGGGGAGAATTATTTTGAGATGACTGACAGAAAAAGAATTTATACATCATGCAATGAAAGTAGTTTTCCTATATTTGTTTAAGTCTTGAATGCAAATGTGAGCTTGCGTAAATTTTTAACACATCTTACATTAGGCATATTCATATTAATAAATAACTTGGTACCTTTCATCAAGCTCTTCCAGCTTATTCCCAGACGATGTCGTAGTACTTTCTTTTGTAAGTCTTTGCAAGAGATAAAATGTCTGCTGAAACATTTGCAGTAAAAAATCCTCAAACTCCTGTGGGACACAGTTCTTTGAGAGCAGTTCATTGATACAGCACATGGCAAGCACACCTAGAGATTCCGAGTCCGTGGTGTAACTGCCATTCAAGTCTGAAGAAACCCCTCCGCTACTACGATTGTGCACCGAGGCAGATTCGCAGCCAAATGCCGCAAAGTGAAATATAGTGCTGAGCAGGTTTGGTGTGATAGTGGTGGACAGAGGTATCCAACTGAACAGATGTGAGAGACAGTTGAGTGCCAGAACACATGTATGGTGTGACTCGGAGTCCAGGGGAGGGATAGATTCATACTTGATGGTCTTGGCAGGGGAGCTGAACATGTTCTTCAGTATCTGACCTATTGGATGACATGAAAAAAAGAAGTTAAAATGGAATTCGATAATAATGCATTTGACAAAAAAAGTATCATATAGTGTCGATTTTGTCATAATAAAAACAACCAAAAATGCCTGTACTAAGAGATTTTTTAACATATACATATACTAACATAGCTCTCATTAATTACACTAAAATCATCTTATGCCTTTTCATACCCAAACATCTAATATACAAATTTCTGCTTATTAAGATGTTTAAGACTGCCTCCCACCTTTAAATGTATCAGTAGTATTATAAAAAGACTGCCTTATCAATGTTTCATAACTATATACTCACTTGGCTGTATAGGATCATTGGTGAATAAAGCAAATGTTGCTGATTTGGCTGGCGCATGTGACACCTGACCTTGTGTAGGAGATGGAGGAGGGGTGGCAGCCACTAGGTGACGATGTTTTTCTAAGATGGCTTCTAAAGTATCTGGAAAAATAAAATAAAACACTGACTCGTAAGTATTTTGTCCATAAGTGTGTAATTCAGATGCTTTGAAAATGGATATATTACATGCTAGATGATGGTATATGCTGTTATCCCTAATGTCAACTCACTCAATCACTTAATGCACAATTTTCAATGGTTTTGTAATAAATTTGACATTTTTCATTTATGATGCAGCATAACAAGTTGGGAAATGCCATGACTTCCTCTTTGAACTAATGAAAAGTCACATACTACTAATTAGACTAAGCATAGTCGGGACTTGCTGCAGCAGGAGTCTATTAAGTTCATCCTTGCGAGCAGCACTCAGATCTTCCCGGGGACAAGCCAGTTCTTCAGATGATGTTTGGATGAGGACAATACCCAGAATGACTGTCTCCTGGTGCTGAATTAACTGAAAAAAGAAATGACACTGTTATTTTACATTTCAGGTTATTTAAATATGTAGCCTTTTGATTGTGAATTCTGTTTAAGAGTTTGACTCACAAGTATACATTTTTTTTGCTCTGATGTATCTGGTAACATATTGTGGTATAAATGACTCAATTTTTTAAATGGGGGAAATTGTGAACTTTACAGATACTGTAAATTTTAAGTCATAAATACTTATGATAAGAATTTTCCTATTGAAGTGAAAGAAACAAAATTGAAAAGCAGGATTCCCTATAGTTACATTCTGTACAGTAAACACACTTAAAAGGTATAAAGAATATTTTAATGATTCCAAATTATATATCTGAGAGACTGATAATTTTTTCCCAGTGAAAAGATATGAGTCATTACTGTACCTTATGAGAGGATATTAACATAATCTAATAGTCTTTAAAGACTTTTAATAAATATCAAAAGTGATGTTCTCATTATTAGTGACTGTTAATGCTGTTATGTCAGTCCATTCTTTACAAAAATAAGCAAATAGTGGATGAAGGAGCAGATGAATAAGAAAGTAATATGAATAAAACTACTCCAATGGTTTAAAGTGGTACCTGTAACATGCTTGTGAAGAAATCTGGGTAAAAGTGTGGCCAGTCAAGCCGCCCAATGTCCACCACAAGTTTGCACAGTTTGTTTCTGATATATACTGGCACTTTGGTATGGTGTTCTAGAAGAAAGCGGTTCAGAGTATTCCTGATCTCCATCTTGTCTGATGCCTCAAGCCCTAGCCATTGCTTGTTAATCAAATTCTGGAGAAATAAAGACATTTTCATGTATAAGATAAGATTGCCTTTTAAGAAAATTTCCTTGTTGAGTTTATTCACCATCCATATACAGGGCATCATGGTATCTCTTTCTATAAGTACAGTATAGACAACTATAGAAGATATTTCAGGCCCATAGCCAGCAATTTCAATTGGCGGGTTCGTTTTCTGAAAAAGGGGTCCTTTTACCATAAAATCTTCATGTACCTATATCAAATTTGATCCAAAGTGGACCTTTTTCCAGCAAAAAAGGGCGGTTCTTTCGAACCCCCCGAACCCCTCCTGGCTACGGGCCTGTATCTTTTACATGTTTATTGTCCATAGGACAAAAATATCCCTAATTCCTCTACCCCATTTTACTTTTTTGGCCTTTTATCAATAAGTCAGCATCAGTAGTAGAATTCAGCACCCCACTTACATCAAGCACAGTTAGACAGAACATCATCACATAATTGTTCTTAGTGTTGGCCAGGAAATAAAGGCTGTGATGCCAAGCATCCCTCTGCTGACTGAAGTGGTTCAAAAGTTCCTCTGAAAAAAATTACTAACATGAAAATAATGTGCAATTTCAGCATGAAAATGAATTGACATTTTGGAATACGACTCCCTCACAGATGGGTTATCAGGGATGTAAGACCACTTCTTCATTGATAAAATCTTTGATTTATATCAATCTGAAGATGATACAGATTGCATGCATTCAGCATTTGCAAACATTTAAGAAATTATTTCAAAACAAGTGTCAGAAGGAGTAAAACAGCGATTGTCATATATTAAAACATAATGACAATGTTTTAAATGCAATTTAGTTAATCTCACCTATTTGGCGTTTCCTCTCATTTGTTGTTCTTGCATCAAAGAACTCTGACATCAAACCTTCAAGGGTCCTCAGAGAGGACTCGTCTGTAGCCTGACAAAAGTGGATAATATTAAAGTTAACAAATATACATTTATATATAAAAACATATTAAGTGATTGGATCACTAAGAAACATCCTGACATGAGAGCTATGCCCATTTATACATCCACATTCTATATTACAGTGCCTTGGGCTTTTCACCTTGGACTCAGAATAAAATCTGCCGAGGAAATATCTTCTAAATATTGTGCAGTACTGAATGAGACAATATGAGGCTTTTAACAGTTCCGTCTGAATCTTACACTTAATACTTAAAGGGATAATAACTCTTCGTATGAAATCTGTATTTCACAATAAAAACATTGTGAGTGACTCATAAAAATATAATATATACTGTTTTCCCACAAAAACGGCTGTTATAGCTATTATTCTGATATCTGAGCTTGTCTTTAGACCACATGACCTCCATTGATGGCTATACTCTGTTAAAATCTCTTAAGAGATTTTAACAAAAAACCGAACTTTTTAGAAAAAAACCAGGGACTAACTTTGAATGTAAAAATGGATTCATTAACCATTGGTAAGTATGGGAAAATTGTTGTTTACTCCAGGAAAATTCATTTTTTGGCCGAAACGAAGAGTTATTATCACTTTAAACTTTGCTTGGTGATTGCTAACCATACAATGCTTACTACAGAAGCCTGTACTTACTGTAAGTAAAGGCTTTTGTATAGCACAAAGATTTTGTGTTTGCACTCTTATTCATGTACACTGTACATTGTTACTGATATGCACTGGCTGTGCTAATGCATGAAAACAAAAGGCCCAAACACTGTAAAATGATGCATCCACCATGATGCAGAAGCTCACAAATCTTTATCATACCTTTCATCTCCTCAACCTGCAAACTCCTGTAAAGCTGATCAGTTTATAGAAAAAACTATACATTTGTAACATTCAAGAGCTTTACTGCATAGATTTAATTAAATTGTAGTGTTTAATTAAATTAACATGTTTAATGTGTACTCAATTAAGTACCAATTTGTGTAGTGTGTTTAACTGAATTAATGCGTGCTCAATTGAATTGATGTTTGTTTCATTTATTTCAATTTAGTGTCGACTTATGTATAGTGTGTTTAATTAAAATTGCATTTTAACACAGATTTGGTGAATTTTGGCATCTAATAACACTGGCATCATGAATGACAAATCTGTGATAGATCGGTCTAATGATGAGGTCGTGATATTATTGCAGGTAAATAGCTAAGTGTCTCCCTATAAGATGAAAGGGGTTCCCATTTCTCTGCTGCTCCGTAAATGTAATACTAGTAAGTAGACTGACACTGACATTGTGACAGAGGAGGGGCACTCTTGATTGAGAAACCGAAAGTTGCAGGTTGAACATATCTAAGCTACCGACTGAAAAAGGGTCCAGTTGCCACAAATGTAATCCACAGTACAATATACCTCCTATATATCTACTTACCATAGCCTCTCCGAAGTTTGATCTTAAGACATTGCACAAATCACATGGAATTTCTCTCGTGCCGTGCAGACCTAGCAGCACCTAAATTTCCCTTCCGTTTAGTTTCGTATTTTGGATGACCTTATCTGTCCAAATTTATTCAAATAAAGTAAATAATATGTTATTAATTTCAAATTTATGTGAATAAATAAGCTGTGAGTTGAAAGTAAAACTATGTTTGAAACTGAAATAACAGTATCATTTTAACGCATCAAAACTACTAATTAATGACAGCTTTACTTTTAGTGACACGACGACGGCCACAACAAAATGATCAAGGGGATTATTTTAATCGGTGGACCTATGAAAGGTATTTAGTGGAGATATGAAAAATACACTGAAAGTCTTTTGAATGCGTGGTGCATTTCATTTCACTTGAATCGTGAATATTTTTGCTACTATCTAGTGCGATAACGAGCAGTCATTCGACCTCCCGCTTCCACTTCGCGGACGTTGATGTACTTAACTATCGAACTTCGAAGGACAAATACTACACTTGCTTAAAATTACTCAGTACAAGCGAGACAACATTAAGTACACGCATGTTGTCTTATTAAGCATACTTCATATGCCATGCATACGCCAAAAACTATATGAATTGTGCTTTATATGAGTGACTAATATTTTATAAATAATGCATCTTTACTTTAGACTTACTGCAATTATTGGCTATGGAATTATCATATTAACATTGTCAGTCTTACTTGCATCTGATTTACATGTTCATTAGTAGAGACTAGTTTATACAATGCTGCATATTAATACATGGTTTCATTCAAAATCCTCCACTGAACGGTGCAATATAAAAAAAAATGAAGAAATATTTTCTTAGATATTTTTTTATTGAAATGCTGGTAAATTTTTACAAATACAGATAGTTAAAGAAAATAAAGAAACAGTTTGAAACCTTGATTATCACTACACATGTTAATCAACTTTTTAAAATATTTCAGGTACCCGATTTAGGCCTCTTTCATTAGAACTTCCAAAACCACTGTTTCCTGTCGCAGGTTTTCCAATGATCTATCACCACATTGAGGCATGTAGTAAGGTGAGTATGATACATGAAAGAGTCTATATTAACTGGTTTTTAATTATAACTGTAGAAATTATATGTGCCACTAAAAAATATGCCGAGGAAAAGTGACTTGTGACACACACACACACACACACACACACACACACACACACACACACACACACACACACACACACACACACACACACACACACACACACACACACACACACACACACACACACACACACACTTGACTTGCCTTGCCTTGCGCCTTTAGAAAAGTATGTAAATGTAAATGCTTATTTCTACATTCTGGGAGATATTTGATGTTGAATCTGAAACAGATCTTGTTTATTTGGAGTGTTTGACATTGTGATAGCAGTGTTTTTGTGTATCATTTCCAACTAAAACCACTATGTATGCATGTTTAACTTACTAATGTATCTGTAAGTTGTGGATTATTTATACACATCATTCTAGTGCACTGTGAATTTGATCATTCTAGGTGCCGGATTTAAAAGAGGTACTTTTGATTGGCTTCTATCAGCCAAATGCTGCTCTAAATCATTTTATTATGGAAGTTCATCAAGAATTTAAGTTGCAAGTAAGGTGAGTCTGAACATGTTGCTTCTTACTGGAGTATATTTGCATTAAGTACTGCAGTACTGCAGCAACTACAATTATATGTAGTTTTATTAAGTCTTGTATTTCAGTTGCCTTGATAAGATAGTCTCCTTAAGATACTATTTAATTTAGAAAAAAATAATTCATGCAGCATATATCAATACTTGAAGTAACGTGAAAAGTAGTTCCACTGTGTATCGATTTCAGCAACCTCATATTCTAGCTGTTGTTCTGTTTTAGATATTTCCAGGAGTATCAGGCATTAGGAACGGCAGGAGGATTATATCACTTCAGAGACCAGATACTAGCTGGCAATCCAGAGGCTTTTTTTGTTATGAATGCAGATGTGTGTGGCGACTTTCCTCTCAACGAGATGTTAGAGTTCCACAGAAAGACAGGGAATGGGGACACACATACAATGCTTGGAACAGAGGTAAATATTTTAACACATTTTAGACAGGTTTTACTTTCATGCACTTTTTTTTTGTAATTTTACATAATTTTAATACAAAAAAGCTCAATCATCAAGGGAATTTATCACAAAACAATTCAGTTACAATGTAATACTGTACATTCCTATGACCTGAACATTCTTTAACAAATGAACACATTTATCTTTAGGCCACTCAACAGCAGTCTTTGAACTATGGGTGTATTGTGGAGAATAAGGACACACATGAGGTAAAAGAAAAGTCATTATACAACATAATGTGTGGCACTTGTACAATCTTGCCAGCTGTGCATAGATACCAGTTATATAATAAAGAATGGCTAACTTTCATATGAAATGAAGATTTGTTACTGTTGCTTTGATGGTCGGTAATTTATTAGAAAACTTTACTGGTATATGTTGTGTACAAAATGGTCCCAAGTTAATTTACTTCTTTCACTATATACACTGCAGTAATGAGTCAAGTTATTAATATTTCTTTTTGTTTTAATTTTGGATTCTTGTTTAATTTTCCACAGCTTTGTGTATCATTCTCTTCTTCGCCATCAGGTTGTCCATTATGTCGAGAAACCAGGAAGCTATGTGAGTAGTATCATCAACTGTGGCACGTATCTTTTTAGTCCAGACATCATGAAGTACCTAGCAGCAGCTTTCCAAAAGAACCAGGAGAATTTCTGGTGAGCTTTATTACAAAGAAACTGCCATTAGTACAGCAGCAAAAAAATTGGACTGAAGCACAGTTGTATTATGCTTGTTTGACTCATTTTTGAAAGATATTTAAATTGCATTATATATGTGATCTTTGTGTCTTAATACAAAAAGGTAAGGTTATTTATTCATGGACATAAGGTAAATTAATTTTATTTACAGCACTGATAGTATTGAAAGCTCCCTTTCTCCTTCTACCAAAGAGTGTATCTTCTTAGAAAGTGAGATTTTCATGGATTTGGCCTCAACCGGAAAACTCTTTGTGTACCAAACCACTAACTTTTGGAGTCAAGTAAAGTCAGCTGGGTAAGCAAAAGTTTGTTTGGTCAGGCAGAATTAAAAGGGTTATCAGGCAATGTCAACAGCATTAAGTATGGTATTTAAATGGTGCAGTGACCTGTCAACGTTTGCTCTCTCATTTAAGTTTAGAACATTGGATCTAAGAGATTAGAATATTTAATTAATGATATAGGGGTTGCTTGCATGATTAAATACAGATGTCATAAATTCTATTAATTATATAAGGTTTGCTAAAATGAGAAAGCTACAGATGTAGAGGAAATTTATTTACCATTTTTTAAAAATTTTGGAACTTGATTACTAGTAACTTGATTTGCTGAATTGGAAATAGAGGTAATGCAAGAGAATGGTAATGTAAACCCATTTAAACAAATATTTGCATGTTTTATGTCCTGCTGTTTTAGAACCATTATATTCCTCTTTGGAGAATTTTAGCATCAGTCTGTAATTTTAGTATGATATGATTGAATTTTTTATCAAATGAAGTTGTTTGTAAAATTTTGTGATTCAACTACTGACATAGTTGTCAGGATATTTGTTTGAATACCACCAGATATTTGTTGAAATTTTAGGTGAGTTTTCTCTTTGTCACACTAACATATCTTCATATTCAGTGTTTTCAAGGTAGAAAAAAATCACCTTTCACTTACTTATTGTGATTTAGATTATGAACAGAAAGCGGTAATGTATTTTCTCAACCATTTCTCTAGGGCAACTATTTATGCCAACCGTCACTATCTGGCAATCTATCACCGCACTCACCCTGACCGCTTGGCCAAGAATGGTGAAGGAAAACCAACAATCATTGGAGATGTCTATATCCATCCATCAGCATCAGTGCATGAATCAGCCACTGTAAGACGCCATTCCCATAGATTTTAGATCGATCTATCCCTGTGGGGAGTCTCACTAGATTACTGTCAGCGTAGCTGGCTTAAAAGTCTGTCCCGCCTACTAAAAGCTATAAGGGGGTAATTAACTACTGTGCGCACTCGGCTGACTGCAATTTAGCGTGAACCCCAAGGGAGTTAGGTCGATCCGGATGGATTGATATAAATCTCTGGGAATGCACTCTAAGTGTTAAGACATATGGAAGTCAATATTCTCAGCTGATGTGAGTGATGAAAAATAAAAACATAATAATGAGCTCAAGGTATTATTTGAATGTCTTAAAAGGTGTGTGCCTTCTGTTGAACTTAGTGTGCAGATTTTATTGTATCTTTTGTAATTATTTTTTATGGAGTCACAAAAATAAATGAAATAACTAAATAGACAAAAATGGAATTGAGTGAAAATTATATTTTCATAATTATTTTAAAACAGTTTATTCTTATTTCCAGCTTGGACCTAATGTAACTGTTGGAAAGAATGTAGTCATTGGTGAAGGTGTAAGAGTTCGAGAGTCCCTGGTTTTAGAAGGATCAACAATACTGGTAGGTTTACGGGCTTGTTGGATGAAACAGATTAATTTCCTGTATTAAATAGATTTTACAACCTTTAATACAATAACATGTTTTAATCAAAGGTTGACTTTTTCACGTGTTTTATCACTGTAGAATAAAAAACTTTTTTCTCAATATAGAATTTGATTAAGGAGCCACAATAGATAATGGTTGAATCAGGTAATACTCAGTAAAAATCCAATGATATATTTTAATTAAAAAACAGCATTAAGCAGCACAAAAGTTATATTAATGTGTGTATTGGTAGGACCACACCTTGATTCTGTACAGTATTATTGGCTGGAATAGTGTGGTTGGTTCCTGGAGCAGAGTGGAAGGCACACCAAATGATCCCAATCCCAACAAACCATTTGCTAAACTGGAGGTGTCCGATCTTTTCAACTCAGAAGGGAAACTTAATCCTTCAATTACTGTCATAGGTAAGGCTCCCTTGCATAGCAGTTTATGTGTGATTCTGGCTACTTTAATGTCCGAATGTTTATTATCCTCCCAACTGTATAATATCATTTACATTATGAGTTCTAGATGAGTTTGAGGTTCTAATTTGTAGTGAAATTTTATTTTATTTATAGGCTCCAATGTACAAATCCCCTCAGAAGTTGTCATCTTGAATTCCTTAGTACTGCCACACAAAGACTTGGGCAGAAGTTACAAGAACCAGATAATTCTATAAATACCAGTAGGATCTGCCATTTTAACGTGGCCTGCTCTCTAAAGAAATTTAGAAAGCTCATATCCGAACAATGGGGAGACACTGGATTATTTAATCAGATGTGTGTACTAAGCGTATATCCTTTTGGGTATGTTAGATAGACTACATGTATATACATAGAAAAGGCAATGCATTCTTTGTTCTCTAATGTTCAGCTGTATTTTACAGTGCCACATTTGTATCATGCTGGACAGAGTGACATGCGACAGCTTTATTTTTTTTCCCATGTGTTACATATATTTACATTCCTGAATTAGACAATATTTTAAGTCTATAAATTGAATGTAAAACAAAGGCTATAAGAATATTCTACCAAAATATTCATCTGCCTAGCAAGTGGATAGTTATTTTTCAATCATCTTTGTGCCTTGTAACTTGTTTTATTTCAACTTGTTTTGGTCTGTGCAGGCCAATATTTACATGAGATGTGTGATATTTTATATGCAACAAATGTACTATTTTTCCGAATCTAGTTCAGTGCAATTGCCTGTGAAGAATATTGAGCATTGGCTACAGTTACACATTGGTTACTCCTTGTTTGTCAGTCATGTAAAGGTTTTTAAATGGGGTTCCTACTTTAGGTATTGTATAGAAAGGGTTTAAAACAAATACTAAATGGAAGTGTGTTATTGCAAGCAATGGGGTGATGTTAGGGTATTGCAATTTATGGATGCTTTTGAGTGGTTTTCTGTGATATTCAAAGACTTTTTCTTACGTAATTAGAGCAGTAGTTTGGGGATAAAAGCGCAATCATCTTCCATTGTTATAGAGTATACTTGAGGTTATAGGTATCTATAACTTTAGACGAAGAATGGATCAAAGTTGTGCTCAAGATTCAAAGAATGACAAGTTTGTCTTCCTAATAAAAAGGAAGCACTGAAAAGAAACATGGATATATATACTTTTAAATAACCATTGGCCTAAACATAGGTTTGTGATTCCTTCTGTTTTTTTTTTTTTTTCTTTCTTAAAAATTTTTGAAGACAATGGCAATTTCAGAACAAGTTGATTCCTGGACAAACAGATAGATGTATCAGTAATGGTCAAAGCACTTAAAAGCAATGCCATCTTATCCTCTAATGGACTCCCCACATCCTAAACATACAGGGGCACAGAAATAAAATCTCAGCTCAACTTTGATCAGGGTGCAATTCGTTCTTATGCTGACATTGGTTTTGTTTCCTACGCCTGATCAGAATGGAGCCGAGATTTTATTGCTGCGCCGCCTGCAAGGATGGCACTTGTGGGAGCTGCAGGGACATTGCTTTTACGTGGGTTGGCCATATTTGATCTGCGGATCAACTTGTTCTGAATGTGCCCTAAGATGGCCATGAAAAAGTGGGAAAGAATGTCTGGAAATTGGGGGGAAAAAACTGTGGAAACAACATCTGAGCATTTGCAGCATAAGGGGCTTCACCTGGATGGAAATTGAATCTCCTTGTTACTGGTAATGCAGGTGGTATGCATAATTGTATTGTCTTATACTGAAAATGGGTTCTTCTTAATGGTTAATAAAGGAATTCCTTGTTAAATTGTCCGAGCATTTCTTTATTGGGCAGCAGAAAAAATACAGTTCTGGGTCAGTTATGAAAAATACAGAAATTCCACAAGATTAAGTGTGTGTGGACATATATGCCTTAATGACTTACCTCAATTGCACAGAGTCGATAACAGATTGCAGTGAGAAATAATATTCTTTAAACTTGGATTGCCAGTATAATTGATAAATGGTACATTACACACATTCTACAGCCTCTTTGGAGGCGATCTAATGCCAACCCTTATGATGATGTGTACCAAATCCAATTCAACTTGGTTCTTATATGGCATTACAAATAACATTCATGTATTATAGATAACTGCCAGGAAGACTTTGTGTACAGGTACAAATGGTCAATTACATGCCTTATAAACATATTACAACATATTTACCTTTGGTGTGGTTTGATGGTGTTGCAACAAATCAATTCCTTTGAACCACCTTTTACTCACAATAAGCGATTCCTGCTGCATATATTTACTTTACATGGATAGTCAACTACACATACATAACAAAAACACTGAATATGAATTGTTACCACATTAAGTACAGGTATATCATAACACTTTCTTAAAATAAGTGAGGATCACTGCCTTTAAACCTCAATATGTAAAATATCTCAGAACTCAGCATATAATGAAAAGACATCTTTGATGCACACATATTCATGTTGGACAAATGCTCTAACAGTTTCATACAACTGTCAGGAAATGCCTTTTAGCAGCACAAAAAAAAAAAAAAAAAAAAAAAAAAAAAAAAAAATAATAATAATAATAATTTTTTCATAACAGACCACCTGTCTGATACTACTGTATCTGTAGATACATAGTGCCATGAAAAATCTTAACTCAACCAATATCATAAAAAAGGTTATTTTTTCTTTCAATATAAGTCTGCATACACCAATATCTCTTAATTTCAAACATACATACAACAAAGTTTAAGTTGAAAGCACAACATAAAACAGTCAATTAACATCAGTGATTATACAAACTTACCTGTTTCATATTAAAAAAGGTTACCTTATCTATTAGGTATTATTCAGTCATTAAAAAAAGTCTATATGCACCTTTGAATACAATAGTGCCCTCTTAAAATTATTTTGACTAATATTGTATTTTATGCTTGTGTGTCTACAGCAGCACAATTCTGAGCAAGTTCTAAATATTATTAAGTTTTAGCAGATACAGCTGATTTATCTTATTACTAGTTCAATCATTCCTGCAAAATACCCCCCATCTCACACACACATAAGCCTTCTCTCTCTCTCTCTCTCTCTCTCACACACACAAACACACACAGCTAATGTTCAGGAGTCTTTATGTTCATGAAAGACACTGATCTAGATTGCACGGTTAAATTTACATAGTGGACTATCTAAGTTTAGCAATTATAGTTCAGCCCAAAATCTTGAGTCTTTTCTTGTAACAGGTCCTTGGCATGTACTCATTTCAAAGTTCATTTATCTGAGTCCTCAAATTATTATATATGGTTTCTGCCAAGTATTTATTTTATTCCTCTAAATCATGAACATAACACTATGTGCTTCTGCCACATATTCCTGAGCCTATTCCTCAGAATCCTCAATATAATACTGGGCCTCTGCCAAATATTCCCTAGTCTTTGAAGGCAAAGGCAGTACATCAATGTGATCTCTTCGTACACATTTCAGGATAATGAAGCGGCACATATGCTGAAGTGAGCGCATTTTTTGGTATCGCGAGAATGGGAACAGTAGAGAGACAGGAAAAGGTGGAAGGCCTGGAGCATGAGGTCGCATGAAGTATAAAAACTGGTGTGTCCTTGAATGTTCCATTGCTTTCTGTATGAATTCTACAATGGAGTCATGGCCATGGGACTCTGGCTGTGTGTAAAAGCTGAAGTGACCTGAGAAGGACAAGGAGGCAAATAAAATTGTTCATTGACAACTTGCAAGCTTTCATTTGAAAATGCTAAGCACTTTTTAAATTGCATCATCTGTTTTCATAAACTGTTAATTATAGCTTGAATGCAACTTAAGAGACCTATCCTCAAATCATATTATCCTGAATCATACGGGGTGTACATGCTTTAGATTTCAACAGATCAATATGCATTTGACATCTTAACTGAATTTAGAATGGGATTACAGCATTCACCACTAAATATAAAAGTACTAATTCAAAATTGAATACCTTTGTGATGCTCAATCCTGGTATGGTGAGTTTGGCCATTAGACCTAAAGCTGAGGCTTAGAATGTAGTGTTCATCTGCACTGTCTCTGACCAAAAAAGCTCCGTCTGGCTTATCGTCAAGCTTAGCTTCTGCCTCCTGTGAGCTGAGTGGACCCCAGTACCAACCAACCTATATGTACATGTAGGAGTAAAAAGAATACAGAACTAGTTTCAGATTACACAGAAAATTGCAAGAAGATGTTATTGGGAGAACAGTTCATGTCCAATTTGTCTTTTTGTGTATTATAGCATTACTCAAAACTCAAGTAATTCAACTGAATTTTGAAATAATAGATATAATGCACAGAGATATGTCAAAATGTAGACAAAAAATTCATATAAACTATGTAAATACCATTTTAGTAAACTGCATTTAGGTTTTATTGGTAACTGTGTGGTGGTTAAGGAGTAATATTGCCACAAACTTTTAAATCTTCCATTTCTTGATAAAGTAAACATCATTTCGTTTACAGAGACTTCACATGAACATGTTGTTGCTTACTATAGATTACATGTGTTTTAATGTGTTCTGCTTGGTTGCAGGGCTATGTTGTATCCGACATAATATGGAAATTTACTCTTCAGTAGACATATAGCAATGTCCACTTGTGTTATTATAGATAAGGAACATCGGGCCACAACAACTTCCTGGTCAAACTAGAGGTTCTACATTGAAATACCATCAGACCTGCCAGTTTTGTTTGCAGTTGTTCATTGCAGTATAAAACCACTGCCCTCAGGTTAAAAGATAATTCATTTTGTAAATATGTGATGTAAAACAAGAGCAATATCTAGGATAAGGCAAATGCCTCTTCCAAGTTGTTTCTATGTACCGAGTCGCTGCTTGTACATGGAGCTTAAATAAGAGTCTGCATTCTGTTTATAACAGTAAAACTTAATTTCATCGCAATCTTGCCCATGGAATACACGTCTATTTACAAACTGCTCATTTCATAAACTGAAGACAGATGCACAGGAAGAGAATATTCAAATCATTACAAGATTATCTCAAATGCATTCCACTTTATGCACAATTTTGATTAAAAACATTACACATCAAAATTCTATTTAATATTCCTTCACAAAACCACTGAGTCTTCATCATACAGACAGCTATAAATTTCATTTAGAAAAACATAACTTTACACACATTCGTTACAGGCATGCCCCACTTTCAGACAAATACAAAATGACTATGATATTTCTTTACAACATTTCAACAACACATCTATTTTCATAATATCATTTGTGATTTAGTAGGGTGCATGAAATATGCACAGAATACTCAAATAGGGTTATCAGAGCAAAAGAAACCTGTTTCAGTGCTAGTAACATCACCCCGAGTATTGACAAAAACCTGAAATTCGCCACACAAGAGCAGCTTAATCTATAAGAAGTTTTTCAGCTCAATAAAACAGAGTTCTACATTTAAAGTGATAAGAGATAAAAAATCAGGTGCACTTACATCCTTCAGACATTCCAGTGCATCAATGCAGTTGTTTTTGACATTCCGTCTAGTAACTGAAAAGACACAGAACAAGTGAGATAATTTTGGTGATTCAAGACATGACCATTATTGTCAGGAAAAAAAAGGTTGTAAAGGAGGAAGGAAAGTTAAAATACAAAATTACAGTAACACTGTGTCTGTATTTATAAATAAAAATTAAATTCAAAGCCATACATTTCCCATAAGTAAATGACTTAAAAAACTTAAAAGAGAAGTAGGTATTGGTAAATTGCTGAACGCTTATTCAATCTGATTTCAAAAATGTGTAAACAGCTATATGTACATGACTGTCAAACTCAGGTAGGCTATCTGTCTGATATTTATCATTATCTGAATGTTTAATTTCATTCTTGACACTTTCATAATGGACAAATATATATCTGCCACATGTGCATAGTCATCAGCAAAATTTGTCCATGTGTTCTTTTTATAGAATTTATTAACCAAAAAATTATTTATAACTTAACTACTTTCTATCAACAAGATATGGCATATCAGAATCATATTATCATCACGATCATAATCCACCTTGCTATTCAAAACAGCTATCCAAGCTAGCCTGTACTTCATGTATTAATTATATCACAAACCACTTGATGCATAAAATCACCCCATCTACTGAAATGTGGAAATACACTTTAAAAGTCATTAACCAGTCTACAGGTTTGGTGCGATGTGGTTTATGGACAATAAATCATGTAAATAGCTTCTGCTTCTAAGACTAAAAGGATTTCCTTATATAATGTAAAGCCATTACTCTAAATTCAAATGTCTTGCAGTAAGGCTTTTTTTGGCTTGCCACTTAACTAGATTTATAAAGATTTTCTCCATGAAAGATGCTATGTTTGAAAAACAGAGAGATATGTCCCTAAAACACCACAATGAAACATAATGCTGATGAAGTAAATCTTTAATTATTGAAGCTGACATGTTGAAGCTTCAGACAAATAATGCAATCACTGAGTATAACGTACTAGTAGTCTTCCAGTGAATCAAACACTTACCTCTTGGGGTCTCTGGAGGGTGGGGAGAATGCTCCGTGCTAACATGAAAGCTGGAGCAAGTGGACTGCTTGGCCTGCTGACATATGCTACAGTCATGCTGTAGTTTAGATTGGCTCCGTCTCACTTCTTCCAAACTCATGTGTATAGGTTCCTCATGTGAGTGCTGACATTCAACTGCATTAGTCGAGTTATTGTTCATGTTTGTATTAGTTTCTTGGAAAGTTACACTTTCATATGGACTATCTTGTTGAGCGTCTTCGTTGCTGCTGTCAGTAGCTGAATTTTCTGCTTGTTTGACACCTGTGTCATTTTTGACAGTGTTACTTAGAGTTTCAGCAGGAAAAGATGGTTCAGGTATTTGTTGCAAGGTGGTTATATTGCCTTTCTCTGTTTCCCCACTAGTATTTTCTTGTTGCTTTATAACCTCCATTAAAGACTGAGACCGTTCATACCTTCTGTCAGGTATAGGCGGAGCATCTTCTCTTGCAGAATCGTCAAAATTGTTTTTCTCCTGAATTTCTCCACTTCCACAAGTGCTCTTCCGTTTCTGTGGTGGAGTAGCATACAAGTCCTCCACAGATTCAACCGATTTGGTTGGAGAGGTCTCAGTTTGCGAGTCAACTACATCTGTTTGTTGATTCACTTTATCCTGCTTGAATTGAAAATTGTCATAGGTTGGGAACTCACTCAGGCTACTTCTGAATTTTGCACTTTCTCTCCAAGCACTTTCTCTCTGTTTTAACTGCCAGTTGTCATACGTTGGGAAATCGCTCACACTGTTCCTCATTCCAGGACTTTCCAATAAATGCTTTCTAGATTCCTCATCATTAAGTAACACAGGACTAGAGGGAACTGAATGAGTATTGGGGACTCTCAGCAGAATATCAGCAGTCTCATAGCCACTATCGCTACTTGATTTCTCACCAGAGAAAGCGGTGTCTGTCAATGTGCCTTTTATAGAAGCTTGCTCTCTTTTGATTTCTTCTAAAGTAGCATAGTCTGGGTCTTCATCACTGAAGGAGCACCTGCTAGGAGGTATGGGGGAGGGCACAGTGGGAGGTGATGGGAGTGGTTTGGGGACAGTGCCGTCACTATGAGGCACAGCAATGCTAATGCCATTTGAAGTTGGCTGCTTTGAAGAAATCACTGGTTCAGACTTCTGCAAGGTTGTTCTTTCATCTTGTTTACTTTGTGGTACTGCCGGTTTGTTGTTATTAACGGTTACTTGATGTGATGGATTGCTGACCTGGTTGTGTGGACGCAAAGCTGGGTCAAACGACGGCAGGTCATCCTCTCCAAACCTGCGAAACGCAACCAAACTGGCCTGCCCACTGGTTCCAACCTGAGGCACATCAAATCGTCCCCTTTTGCCAACTCCTTTAAATTTATGCTTAATTCTATGCCAAAATCCATTACTACTCATGGTGGCATCTGCATGAGCTGTGAATCTTAGGAACAGTCAGGTACGCAAAAGGAAACATCACAGATCACATGTCACCTGGTAAGAAAGAAAAGTTATGCAGAATTACCAGTCCGACAACATGTTCACTTGTCTAAAAGATGAAACATATGTTACCACAGTACCAAGCACCTGCTCTGACGGTGACAAGATGATAGTTTCTGTTGGACAGATGTGTGGTTGACAGTTAAAATGAGTCATCACAGAATGCAATTAAATACGCAGCGAGATATGAAGCACCAATTACACGGTGCTATAACTTCAAAATTTTTCTCTGTTGGCAAAGTTTAACTGACAAATGTGGCAAAAAGTGTACAGCCAAAAAAAATTGGGATTATTCCAAATGTAAGAATTATAAGCCTAGCTTTTGACCTAAGCCCATATTATCACTTTAAAAAGGCAAACTTTGTTCTTCTTAACATAAAGTTGTTGATATAATACAACGATCTCCATACACCACTCACATTAAGTCTATCTCACATTAAGTCTCAGTTTATCTTTTTTGTGTTCACCAAATAAAGCAATGATTGGAAGGGATCAAAATACAACATTTAAAGTGGTCTTATACCGAGTTAATTGGCACATAATCAGACCTAGGTATGTCTCTGTGCAAACACTATAAAGTGACAACATCAAAACAGGAGTGACCTACCACTGCAAAGTCTGAGGTGAGGTCAACATATAAAAAACATATTATAATACACATTAAAATTATTACTATCTGCCACAACTAGAACTGGCATTTCACTTTAGCTTAAATCGGAAATCCATATGTTACCTGAGCCATTTTTAAAGTTATCTTTTTCATAAACATTTTCATTTCTCTTTTAAATCAGGATGCTATCAAACTGCATTTATCTTAATTGCTCTACTATTGGCCATATTCCTATCAAACAGGAAGTCTTTCTTACCATTCCCTTCTCCAAACAAAAAATAGATAATATATACTGTACTTACCAAATGCAACATAACTCACCATATGCAGATCCATTACAAATATTATCCTTACATAAGAGACACTATATTTACTATATTTCAAACAGGGTATATTTAAAACTTTAAGAAACATAAAATACAAACAAGATAGATAATTTTTTTTTTTCAATTTTTTTCAACCCACACAAATAAAGTTCTCAGAATCTGTGTCAAGCTCTCTAATAAAATGTGCCCAGGATGTGTCACCTAGACAAATTTGGACTCAGTTTACCTACAGGCTATGATATCTATTACTCAGAGCTAGGGCAAAGAGATAATAAACATATATTGTAACATTCCAATACTGTTGAATACATATAAAATTTATGGATAAAAAACTCTGAATAATTAACATGGGAACAAAAATCTTAAAGAATCTCAGAATTCATTAGAATTGAATTTAAAATCTCCAAATTCAATGATTTCATGGAAAAAGGTTGCCTACATGCTGATATGATAAGGTTTATTTATACGTCAACTGTAATTTAGCTGTGGACCTTATCTACTTCACAATTTTATCTAGAGCATAAATGGTAATCATTATTATTTCATGTATTACCAAGAAGAGAATTAAAACTGCAGTATGGTCCAATTAAGATGGGCTACCTTCATTTTGTAATAGTTCCACAGTCAGATTTGGAATATTCTCCTTACTTTGTTCTATCTTTGTTCTATCCTTCTTACTAGAATTTACTATTTTAATAAAATATAAACTGGTCAACAGAAAATGTGATCAAGCAAAGAGGTTTATAATACATGTAGAGTTGCATGGTTACTTATTTAATCTAACACAATGAAAAAAAAAATGAAAATGAGTTCAATATCATGCACAAATGAATACTTTGCCACTACCAGAAATATGTATGTGAAATAAATATAAACATTAATGAAATGCATAACCTCAAACTTTTCATAGAAATAGACTTCTGTCATAATCTCGGAATATGTAGTAACATCAATGCATGTACTGTATCCAAACTATTTTCCTAGCACTGTCATCAATATTAACAGATGTGTTGTACAATAGAGTACAACAGAATATGTGTAAAAGATATAACCTCTATAGAACTGGAATTCTTCCACACATTCGTGTATATTTTCTTCTTCGTCTAGTCAAAATTTTCTGGGCAAGTAGATTTTTGTGAGCTCTTGCCTGAAGGGCAATAACTTGCAAGTGTCCAAAAACCAACCCCCACAGAACTACAACATTTAACAGTTAAACCTAAAGAAGGTGCCTTAACATAATTTAGAATACCATCTTCGTAGCCGAAGAGATTGGTTTTGGCACCAATCCTCTCACACACTCACTGATATTAAGCATTAACTAAGTCGGGGAGATTTGGGCAAATCTATTTTGTTTATGAATGAAATAAAGTTGGTTGATTGTATTACCATGCTAAAAAGTGGTGCTGTACTCTGTAATTACAGAACGTTTGGTCATGAAATACACATGTGCAGTTGAATGTGCCCGTAAGTTAAAATAATAAAATATTCATTGTTTTCAACAGAAGAAGCGAAAATGTTACTGGATGCATAGTCACCTCAGTTTCCTTCTGCTCTCCTTCCTCATTATGAAATCTCGCGAGAATTTCCGAAACTCGTTATGCTATGAGACATGCGCAGTGCCCTCGGAGAAGACCTCGTGGTGTTGCAGAAGCATTTGCGATGTTGGTGTTGTTCGAAACACCCGCTGGTTATGCGATATTCAAGGTAAATGTTCTTTTGCTAAAATGTAATTTTGATACTTAACTATGCCAACAAAATGTTAGAAAAGCTTTACCATAATTTTGTTGGTAATGAAGTGTGTTTTACACGCAATTTGTTTGCACACACTGACCCACGTGCAAACTCACCAACGTTTTCACTGTTTCAGCTGTTTCTTATACTTTGTTGATGTTTCTTACAATTTTTGGAAAGTGCAAGCACTTCAGTCATGAATAAGATAATGATTCGTGAAAGTTTGGTTTACATTATATTTAACTCTGTATGGTTTCAATTTACTATTTAATTCTCGCCGATAAATTTATTTTAATGTAACTCGAATTTTTAAATTCTGAAAATGCTTCAAATGAAGTTGTTTTAGAAACAAAACTAGCATAGTATCAATGCCCCAATGATTAATCACAAAGTAGTGGTCTGATATTAGTACCATGCTGATCAAAGATAAGGCAGACTATGAGGGGCTAGTTTTTTTATTTTTTCCCAGTGAATCTGTGTATAACCACAGGGTTGTTAATTTTAGTCAAATGTCTTTGGACTAAATTTTATTTTATTTTTTCAGCTTCTAGATGAAAAGAAGCTGCAAGAAGTGGAAAACTTATACAAAGATTTTCAAACACCAGAGCAAGCAAGCAAAGTGTGAGTCATAACTAAAAAAATTAAGATAAAAAAGGATAATGATAACATGAAGTATACTGATATTTTGCTGTTGAGGTAATGGTATTCTTCTGTATCCGTGATGACATCTATGCTCCCTCTACTGAACAGAATGAGGATTGGCTTCTTACGATGGTCTGAGAACGATGTTCATTTTATTTCTGCTTAACATGTAATACAACTGAATGGATGGAGGAGTACTAGAAAAGATGTTGCTCATTAATTGTTTCTCTATTCTAGGGTTAAACTGAAAAATTTTCACAAGTTTGAAGACACAACAGAAGCACTTGCAGGTATCTGTCATTACCATAAAGGATTACAAAACAAAATCGATGAACCAGTCTTGCATTTTACATGAAAATACATTTGGCATTTTTCAAGATTGGCAATATGTAATGTCCACTTGTAAAATTTGTCTAAAAAAGAAAATGGAGCAAGCATGCACTGTTTCAATATGGTATATAGAGTCCTAACGCCCAAACTTGTGTATACACCCGTTCACAAAATGTGCATGTTTCATATGTGCTCCAGCGATTATCTTGAAAGTAGTGGCCAGAAAGCAAAAGTAATATTTAAAGTGTGATGTTTGTCCTTTATGGTTTCAATTTTTAGCATGTACAGCAGCAGTAGAGGGCAAGATGAACAAGAGTCTGAAGAAATTGCTGAAAAAAGTTGTGGCTAAAGAAGCGCATGAACAGTTATTAGTTGCAGATGCTAAACTTGGAAATGTTATCAAGGTACTTTTTGGGATTCAGAAGTGTTTAAACTTTTTTTATCTAGTTTATTTTACTAAACAAAGAAATAAAATATTTAGTTGTATATTGAAGCAATCGACACTTTTTTGTGTCAACAAAATGGGTGCACTAGTTTCTGACCTTCACAGTTTTTCATTTTCAGGATAAATTTGATCTTACGTGTGTCACAAGTTCAGCAGTTCATGAATTGATGCGGGGCATAAGGTCCCAGATGACCAGCTTGACCTCCATTCCAGAGAGCGACATGTCTGCTATGGCATTGGGATTGGCACATAGGTAAGACATACACTTAAAGTTGTCATAAAAGACTTACCTGTTATATATATATATATATATAATCACTCTTGTCAGTGCAGCAGTTAAAACTTTCAGTCACTATGTACCACCGACATGGATGTTGAAATTTAGTGTTCAGGAAAAATACTGATTTGTTGACTGATGGAGGAGAGGCAGAAAGTGCATCTCTCCCCACCATTAAAGTGGCTGTGATGTGTTGATTGTATACTCATATCACAGCCTGCTTTGATGAGAGGGAGTGACAACGCCACATCTGATGTTCTACAGCAAATACCTACCCTTGGTGAGGGAAATTTTAGTTACATAGAAATGTCAATTTTTGATAAATGGAAAAATTAAGGGACATACTGAAGTACACCATAAAAACTGAAAACTATTATCAGACGCCAGGCAAGTATTGTTGATGGCAGGTGGAAAAATGGTTGCTGTAAACTAAATTGTATTAAAATTGCTAGTTTTAGAATTTGGGGGTATTAAGCAAATAGAATGATCTTTAACTGGTGATCATAACTGATAATGCACTAACAGTTTTTGTTATGATATTGAATTGTCCATTTGGGTTGCCTATGATGGAATGTAAAACTCTGATGTGCAACTGAAGATAAAAACTTTTATTCGTCACTACCTCTGAGGCAACCTTTGTTTATAATTGAAAATAATTCACACTACACCTGGAATTATCAGGGACAATGTTTTAATTCCAGCCTTTCGAGATACAAGTTGAAATTCAGTCCAGACAAAGTTGACACCATGATTGTTCAAGCCATTTGTAAGTACAATTGCAGGTTAATGTATTAATGAATGTGTGTATACCATTTTAGTGATTAATTTTAAATGCTCCATTAAGGTATGGATTTTTGCTTGTATTTAAATGCCAGTTCCATACTGTATTCTGTGAGATGACTATTTTGAACAGTAGTTGATATTTAGATTTTATACAAGTTTTTAAGTTTATTGGTCATAATGCGCATTTCTTAAAAGAAATGTTTGTATTAATTTTCCTCTGTTCATTTTTGCAGCTTTGCTAGATGATTTAGACAAAGAATTAAACAACTACATCATGAGGGCAAGAGAGTGGTATGGATGGCATTTTCCAGAATTAAGCAAAATAATCACAGATAACTTAGCCTATGCCAAAGTTGTGAAGGCATTAGGTAAGATGGTAGAATTAAATAATATAGAAAAAAAAATGTCCATTTTAATATAGTTCTGCAGTGGTTCTAGTGAAAATATACATTTGATTACATTTGCCTGAAGTAGTAGTGATGCAGAGAAAGTGGTGTGATATTCCTGCTGGGTAATCAAGTGTTCGGTCAATTGCAGGTGATAGAACCAATGCTGCTACCACAGACCTCTCAGCCATATTGCCTGAGGAAGTGGAACAAGAACTGAAGGAAGCTGCTGAAGTATCCATGGGAACAGAAGTGTCCGAGGAAGATTTAATAAATGTCACATACCTTTGTGACCAGGTATGTTACATTTTATCTCTACTTTTGATCGTTGTAACAGTGATACACCTTATCATCTTAGTTTCAGAGTTTTTAAGTGTCAGTTCTGATCGTTTTTGCCTTTCTCTGTAGGTAATAGAAATCACAGAATACAGAGCCCAATTGTATGATTATCTGAAAAACAGGATGATGGCAATAGCACCTAATTTGACAGTCTTGGTAGGAGAATTAGTTGGAGCTAGATTAATTGCTCATGCAGGTGAGTGAAATTAATTAAAACCTTTTGTTTTTAAAACTTTTACAGCTTTACACAAAACGTTTTAAATGAATACTTACAAAATTGTACATTTCATGGTGCAAAAAGTGCTGTATGTTGACCATTTAGTTTAATTTCTTCTGTTACATGATCTCTTAAGGTAGATATTCTTTCTCCTAGGTTCACTTGTAAATCTAGCAAAACATCCATCTTCAACGGTACAAATCCTGGGAGCAGAAAAGGCTTTGTTTAGAGCATTAAAAACTAAGCATGACACTCCAAAATATGGACTAATTTATCATGCTTCACTTGTCGGACAGGCCAATGTTAAGAATAAAGGCAAGGTGAGTAACGATTGGAAAAATCAATAAATTCCTACATACCTAACTTTCCCATTTCCCTAACTTTCATATTTTTATTTAGATAAATTTTTGATCTATTGAATTTGAGCTGAAAGTTGGAGTGGGGAGGGGGTTATAGTAAGCGTTTTGTATTTAGAACATTTTATTATGCTATATCAATGTATAAATATTTTCTTTGAAGATTTCCCGAATGTTAGCTGCTAAAGCTGCTCTTGCAATCAGGGTAGATGCATTGGGAGAGGATACCACCAATGAAATGGGCATAGAACACCGTGCAAACCTAGAAAGTAGGATGAGACAAATGGAAGAAGGAGGGGTAAGGGGACTGAGAAAACTTTTGTGAATTGTCTTCACAAAATATGTATCAGCAATATGGCAGTGTCTTAACTTAGTAAATAATTAGACAAATTACAGCATTTACCTTAGAAGTAGGTTACCCGTAATAAATAAATATAATAATATGCATGCACTTTGTATTTCCAGTCTAGAAGAATAAGTGGCACTGGTAAACAGATGGCGAAATGGGAAAAATATGAAAATAAAAGGTAAGTTGTTTAATTTGTTGGTCTTGCACTTACATCTTTTATGGGGACACCTAGAAAGTGATTCAGAATTTTTTTGTTTAATGAGTCCAACATTGATTGTGGCAGTAGTGACAGGGCTTTCCCTGTTTTTTCAGTCAAGTCAAAACTTATGATGCTGGGGCTGATTCCACTCTTCCCACTACTCCAAAGAAAAGAAAGTTGGACGAAGCTGAAGCTGGTGAAGACGTTAAGTCCAAGAAAGTAAAAGTAGAACAGAATGGTAAGAAATATGATAGGTTATCCAATAAATCCAAAATTGGGTTAATCTTTCTATCATTAAAGTCTTGAGTGTTACATGCAGTCAGCACAATCTATTGGTTTGCTGAATGAATAATTGAGACTTGTAGAATGAATACAGTTACAGACCTACTAGAAATGTTAAATAGAAAGAACTAGATTTACCTCACATGCACTAGGTGTCAGTAACAGTATATCTACATGGTATAGTTTGTATGTATTATCTGTTGGAGCATCCTGGTTAAAGAAAGGCATAGGCTGATCTTTAAAGAGATGAAAACCTTACATTTTTAGGTGAAGCAGAATCTTCAGAAAAGATAAAGAAGAAAAAGAAAAAGAAGGACAAAGAAAAAGGTGCTGCTGGAGATGCAGAAACTTCTATAATGGATACCACAACAGAATCTATTGGTAAGAATTTCATCTATTTCAAAAATTCAAAAACATAAGATATAGGGAGATAAAACTTAGCATCACATTTTATCAAGAAAGAATAAACCTACCCTTATAAGGTCTATCTTGTGTTTGCAGGTGCTGGTGACGAAGGTTCGTCCAAGAAAAAGAAAAAGAAGAAAAAGATGAAAGTGGAGCAGGACAGTGATTGATATGAAAAAAATACAGTACTTGATATATTTTATTGCCCATGGAATGCACTTATGAGACATTCAACTTGTGGAATTGACTCTTTCCATGGATTGAGGGAGCAAGACTGACAAGTTATGGTTATTGTGATTATAAGATTGTAACACGTTTTCATATTTTGTATGAAAGGAATTCAATTGATTTATGCTTACATTGCCTAAATCTGTAATGCAGCTATGTAGTGATGAAGACAAAAGTTATTGCTCATAAAAGAAATGATGGGCATTTTAACATTTTTTTTTCTGTGGATAAAATATTGTTGGGGAAAAAAGATAAAGTGGAAGCTGTCTCCTATTTTGATGGCTCCATATTGCAATAAAGGCTATTTTAGTAAAGATGCTGTCTTTTATTACATAACGTGGCTATGCACAAAATGAATGAATGAACCTGCACTTGGTAAATCTTGGGTCAGTTTTACTATCATTTGGAATGTGGAAATGGCTGTCTTTTCTTTAACAGGTTTGCCCTTATGCAGACTTTTTTTTTTTTGGGGGGGGGGGGGTAAGCACAGCAGAGAACTGGTTTCTACTTCAAATTAAAATTCGAGATTGCAGAAAATCCTGAAATTATATTTAACCTATTGTGATTTATTATAGAATATAGCTTTGGACAATATTTACAATTTGTATATACATGATGGATGAAAATATCTATAATTAAAACACAGAAACCTTTTCGAAAAATGTCATATTACAAAATAAAGGAATTGCATTCCTGAACCAATGACACTATGCATTTAACATCTACATAGACTTGATCCGAAACAAAGTTTCTGTATATTTTGATCATTCTTGACAGCAAACGTTCATTATCTATTTAAAATCCAGCTTGTAAAATTGTCTTTTCCTTTGCATGGCATTGCTGCAATTGTGTTCTCTTCATTGAACTTCCAGCATAGTAGGTGGCTTTGTTCTAACTTCCATGGTTGGGGTGCCTGGTTTGCGGCGCATAGAAGGTTGTGGCTGAGACATGGCTGCTTCATAAGTTTTCTGAAAAGATCAAAAGATAATTTTAAAAAAATCATTTTAAAAGAAGAGAAAAATACGTCCAGATAGAAAAAAATTTCTTTGGGGGTATTCACAAATTCTGAATCACATATGTTTTACAAAAGGACTTGTTTCTATGTAAACTTACTCTTCTTTCAGTTCTCATCTTTGCATTGTAGAATGCAGCAGAATCTGGATTCTCCATGAGCAGTTCTCCTTGTAAACGGTCAAATTTTTCTTGTTCGTCTTCAGGCTGGAAAGGGAGAAAATTGATGAAGAGACGTCATTAAATGGTTACAGTTATTTTACTTTAAACATTTTGCTGGGACTGTTACCTTAATATCCATACCCAAAATTTAATTAGTTATTAGAAATTTTATATGATAATCCAAATAATTTTAAATACCACTGTACTTACCACTTGCAAGGGGTATGGTGGAAGTGCTCCTGGTCTTAGTCCCAGCCCCATAGCCATGCTGGTCTGGAGCTCATCTGCTGGCAGTAAGAAGCTTTCTGCATACCAATCATCAAATTCTGAAAAAAAATTACAATGAGCGTTTTTAAAAAACAACACACACGCTTCAAGGGTACAAATATCACATTCAAGCAAATAGTTTTTAAAAGCATCAAGGGTTACAAATATCACTTTCAAGCAAATAGTTTTTAAAAACAAATTTATTTGTTCAACTCTTGTACTTGATAAGTTGTAAAGTATCGAGATTCAGTACAGTTGCAAATGTTTTGTGTACCTTGAATTAACCTCTGCCTACACTGATCCACCAGTTTCTGGCAGTACTGTACTTCTGATTTGAGGTTTTTGAGCTCTTCATGGTCTGTCCTATAATTTTGCTTAAATTCTTTCAGCTGTTTGATCTCAAGAAACTCCTCCTCACTAATTATAGTCTCCCCATCTTCATTATAGGTAAATCCTGCATGGGAATAAGGATGAATAAAGCAACATAAATTTCAAGTTATATGATCTTGCATTCTACTAATGTTTAAAAACCATTTAAAAGAGAGGGAAATCATAAGAGCAGCATGTGAAGTTATGTCAAAAGAATTACCTTGTGATTCTCTTTCTCTTTTCAGTGCATCCAGTTTATCCCTAGACTTATCAATTTCCACTTTTGTAGAATTGATCTGTCTTGCCAAATCTGCATATGCCTTTTTCTTCACAGCAAGGATCTCTGTAAGAGTTGAAGATACAATTAATAGAAAAACAGCTGATTATCTTATTTAAAACAGGAAGACAACCGAAAGAGAATTTCTCCATATTGTTATGAGATGTGCTGAAACTGTGCAGAGCCTTAATTGTTTCATTCTTACCTTTATTTTCTGACAGAATTCTGTTGATCTCGCTCCCCCTCTCAGCTTTGAACTCTTCAAATGCCACAGTCCTGGGTGGAGGGGTGCTTGGTCTTTCTTGCTGTACTGGAGCAGGGGCTGGGGGAGCAGTGCTACTGGGAGTGGTAGGTTCTCCAGCCTCTCGCTCATCCTTCTTCTCACCAGAGGGGGTTTGAGGGGAGATGATATCCTGGGCTTTAGCACTGTGGGAGGGACTGAGTGGGCCTTTGGCAGTGGGACTGTAAAACAGAGTATTTAGTGTTAGTGGATTTTACACTTTTGTAATCAAAGGGTAGTCAAATATCACAGTCAAATATCATTGTTTTGTAAAACACAATCTGTGCTGTTTCATAACTGACAGTATCTTCAATAAATCTATCTGCAATCACCTTGCTCTTTCCCTTGATTTCCTTTTCAGCGAAGCCTTCTTTATTGCACTGACTGTTGCCGATTGTTCTGCTTTAGCACTCTTGGGTGCCACACCCACTCCAAAGCTCTGCCCATCTGCCTCACCAACCAATGTGCCATCATCTGTGATAGCTACTCCAGCCTGCAATCAAATAAATTCTTCTGAGGTAAAAAACAATATTTCCTTGTTGAAGCTTTAAGATTATTTTAGAGGTTGCAAACAAATCCAATTAAAGGGTTCCAATACAAACGGCTATCTATCATAAATAAGTGAAAATGTACTCTTATTGTTTTTTTTTTATCTCCTACCTTTTGTGCTGCAGCAATAGAAGCTGGGTCTGTTTTGTCAACTAAGGTGTACTTGACTCTTAGCTTCTCCTCTATTTCTTTTTCCATTTGGCTGTAAGAAAAATGAATAAGATTATTAATTTCCTCCTTTCAGGAAGCAGTATTACTGTTCAGATAAAATGAACATAAATCAACAAATTAAGTTTCATAAGGTCATATTATGAATGTCAGAGTACCCTAACTTTTTGCATAATAATAGCAATAACAATGGTCATAATGATAATATCTAAGAAATATAACTTACCCATAGAGTTCCTTAAAAGAATCAAACACACCTTGGATTTGCCTCACATTCACAATCTGGAAAAAAATGAGAACATGAATTTACATAGTTGAATAAGAAAAAATCTTATGAAACAGTTTCATAAAAACTTGTTCTTCAATCTGGGGTCTTATAACCAATTGTAGTGTTGGACAGAAGGACCTAAGTCTAAGTGTATGACAACTTCTGTAGCATTTATTGGTAATTTATATATCGTTCTACAATGATAATTTATTTAACACTCACATCTATTTCATCCAAGGACCCTTCCAGGTATCTCCGGACTTGCTGTTTGATCTCATACTTCTGCTGCTCTGACAAAGGCTCATATGTTACCATGCTGCGATTGGTCTATAAAAGGAAACAGTACAAGTAGGTTATTCAAGTTTAATGAAAAATTGTCATAATGCTATCCATTTATCACATTTTACTTCAATTCTAAATGTTTGTTATTTTATTGGTTAAATCCAGTAACTTACCAGTGTATCATGCATGGCTAACTCATTTCTTAGGTGCAGTATTTCCTTTTCCAGTTTCTTAACCATGATCTGAAATGAGAATTTTTTAAAATATTTAACAGCATGAAAGCATTGTTTTTGACACAGAGGCACTTTATTCAGAGTTAAATATAAAAATACATAAATAAAAAATCAAATTTGTTAACAGTATTCAATAGAATAAACTAAATTATAGATGTATATACCAAATAAAAACTTACTGCTGGATCATAATGTTCATTGATGGCAGGTTCATTGGCTACACACATCATTCTGGTGGCAAATCGCAGAGTGGAGATCTGCAATGATAAAACCAAAAGTTAATAACTTACAAATATTTTCTCCCCAACTGCAAAAAATTATCAGTGAAAAATATGATTTGTTTCTGAAACACATTCATCAACACTATCAGTCCTCTTTGCAAGAAGAAGTTAAAAAGTAAGCTTCACATAATCTTTATTCACTTCATATTTGCTTTTTTTAATCCATTGGGTCATAGTTTACTTACAGTCTCCTCAATTTGTGCCGCTTCTCCCCAGACATTAGCAATGAGCACAGTGCTGCAGGTGCCTCCAATGGAGTCCTTGAGACAGTGTGTGAGCTTGGTCTGTCTGAAGGGCACGTGATCACGCTTTCTGTCTGCCAAAGCAATGACTGTTTGCTCCAGGAAGGACAGAGACTTGTTGATATACATGGCTTCCTGTTGTGTTTTTCCACCAGACTGGAATTATCATGGAAACAACAATGGTAATTAAACAATGCAAATATATATATATATATATATATATATATATATATATATATTTATCCTAGGAAATTAAATCAGGAAGAAGAATGGGAATGAACAAAAATGATTACTTATCTCAGACACACAGACAACAATATATTTGAAGTTCAAACTATCAATACCTTTGTTTTCCCTAGTCTTTCTGATCCTGCCAGATCAACAAAATTTAATTTGGATGTTGTATATTTAGCTGTGGACTGTACACGGGACCTGGACTCTATGTGGACGGTAAAAATACAGTGAGATCTTGAGGACTGTTTATTCAAGGAATGAGTTGCAATTGCACGATTAGTCTCACCCTGAAAATGACAAAAAAATTCATGTTAGAACATCAAATTTTCTCGAAAGTTCTGGCAAATTATTTGCAAGTTTTAGAAGTACATTTAGCTTGAATATTGTATTTATCTATATTGATACTATAATTTTTTTTCTAAATGTATTTTAGTTATACCAAATCATTATCTTATCTGTTATTTATTGATTTATTATTTCATTTGTAATTGATATTTCAATTGTAATTTATTCTATACATGCAATCCATTTAGTAAATATGCAACCAGAAAACTTAAGTGCTATAATTTTAAAAGAATACAAATACAAGGTTAACTTTTGAATTAAGACATTGGTCATTCTAAAAATATGGTATGGAAAAATATATGTACCTCAAACAACAAATTCAAAGCTTCCTCTTCACTTTGGGCTAAATGTGTGGTCAGTCCTTTGACATACACTACACTGCCTTCCTCAGCAATAGTCATTTGTTGTCCTTGAGAGGCATTCATTGTCTCCGGAAGAGATGACAACAGATCAAACATTGTTTCATTGTAAATTTCTAAATAAGATATCCTAACATTGATGGCGTACTCTGGTCTGTCCTCAATTTCTCTGTATAACTGTGAAATGGCTCTTGGAATAAGTCCACGGTGGCGGTAATTTTCTGTTGCTCCAGTGACAGTAAAAGTTTTTCCAGCTCCTGTTTGGCCATAACACATCAATGTACCTAAATAGATAAAGTTGGGTTTGTTATTCTTATAGCTCTCTAAATATGTTCTTTTAAAAGAATCAAACTAGTGTTTCAGACTCTATAGCAAAATACAATTAAATGTTTCTGACAACAATTTCATGAATAATCCGCACTGTTACTTAAAACCAGTTTTTGTCAAGCAATTAATACATACATTAAAACCCAAATTTTATACGTTAATGAACTGATAAATATCAGAAATCAATTGAGCTTACCATTAAACCCTTCAAGAGCTTGTGTCACCATATTCTGCCCAACTGTCTGATAGACTTGTTCTTGGCTTGCATTATGCAAGATGCCATCCATTCCAAAGGACCAATCCAATATCTGGTTATTAACAACTCCTTGCTTCTCATCTCGTTTGCAGTGGATATTAATTGTCTAAAAGAAAATCAGAATGGATGTTGTCATGAAGACCAATGAAATATATTTTATCTGTATGCTGATAAATAAAATTCATTTGAAATAATTCTATGGAGTTGTCTTTTAATTTTAAAATTCTTGTTATTAGCAAGAAAGGTAAACTTACCTTTGAATCTGGTTGTAGATCTATAATGTCATGTGCAAACTCTGGTGTGGGTCTAATACGAACCCACACTTTCACATTTTTCCCCTTGTTACTCATTTTTGTGTGGATTAAACTGAAAGAAAACAAAACTGATACTATATACACTGTGTGGAATATGCACTTACGTGGCAGCTAGGACACACAAAATCAAGGCAACAATTTATGCAACAATAAATCAATATCAGTGATCTCGATTCATTGCATTCACAGACTCAGCCGAGTCAACTCAAAAGCAAAATGAGTGTTTGTTCATTAGATCTAAGAGAAAAGAATTCACTAGAAGCTGCGTGTTNAATTTTTTTCTAATGAAACTTGTTTTGTGGCGTAAAAAAGAGTTATATGTTAAATAATTGTGGTGTGGCACAAGTAAATGGGAAAGTAATTATTGTTTTTTTTTTAATCCTAGAGAAAAGAGGGAGGGGTGGTATATTACGGCATTTTCTCACAGAAGCCATCACTGATTTCACTTAACTGTATAAAAGTCTTGTTACTAGAAAAACTTGTTTCAGCGTATGTATTAATTTTTTATAACTTTTCTCACAGACCAGCATTTGTTGGTCTAAATAATTGTATTTTTAACCAATACACATTTTGTACAAGGCTGTAAGGAATAGTAAAAAATGCTAAAAGCAAAAGGCTGTTACAGTACGTAACAACAACAAAAGAAATCATGTGTAAAAGCACTCTAAACAGATATTTGGAATGTTTCTATAAACCATGAAATAAACAAGGTATAAATTGTACCAAAATAATGATAAGGTATAACTAAAAACTAAATGAAAATATAGTACACATAAAAACAGTTATGGCCAATAATCTGTATGACAATGAAATTAAATCACCTAAAAAGTACTTCATATATGATTATGTATATAATAAAGACCTTGCATAGAATGCAATGCAAGAGTTATTTTATACAAATACAGTATACAAATATGAATATAAAAATGTATAATGAAACAATGGATAATTAATCAGATGTGCTGTCCGAAACACTTTTTGTCTCGCTTATACTGTCACCACTTGATTTTGGTAAATGTGAGGTATCCAAACAGCCTTCTCCACAACATAATTTTCGATTGCATCCCTGCCTCACACATCTAGCCACCAGTACACATTATGGATTCAGACCTCCCATAGCAAAACTAGACCCATCAGTGGCTGGTACTGACAGTGTAAAGCTGGTTCCAAGACAGTTGGAAGTTGTGCACATATCACTTCAGTCCTGTGGTATATGGGGTTTGCCATGAGGCAGGGAAACAATCGAAAATTATGTTGTGGAGAAGGCTGTTTGGATACCTCACATTTACCACTGATTTCAAACTGGCCATCTAGCAGATGCTCATCAGTATATTGGCTAGCTTGCTTTATCTGGTAAACTTCTGGTATTTATTATAGGCTGGTGGTCTCTTGTATGGACTATTTACCAAGTCAATAGGTTTTCACTGATTTCCTTGACAAATAAAGTCATTCATAGCATTTTGGTGAAAAAAAAAGAAGAAAAAAACTCTGCAAAGCTACTATGAATAGTGCTGGTGTGGAAGATTAGGTAATAAGTAACAAAACTAGGGTGTGTGTGATGGAGCCTTTTATTTTACTTTTTATGCAAAATAGACATAAAAGGGGACATTTACGCAACAATTTTGGTTGTACAAAATGTACTTTCATGCCTATTAGAGGGGGTTGGGTCAAGCCACCCTTATGTGTAGAGATCTATTACAGCATGGGTCTCTATATAAAGTAGGAGCCACCATAATGTACATCTGCTTATGATAATTAATATAACTTCGAATATCTAAAGCACATTTTACATTTAATCTTTCCTAATCCTAAGAAATAAGAATGAAAGTTAGATGTACTTTCTGTATTTGGACTCTATTTCCTATCCATATTTCCCCTTTTATTTATTTATTTATTTATTTATTTATTTATTTATTTATTTATTATTTTTTATTTATTTATTTATTTATTTATTTATTTTTTTGATATCATGCATTACATGATAATTACTTTTCATTTTTTGGTTGTAATTGAAAAAAAAATTATTGACCCTAACCCCTATTTTCCTTTCAAAGACCTACATTTTATTTTGAGTTGTTCTTTTTGTACATAAGTTTCATTGTATCTGCCTAGCCATCCTATGTAAGCATGTAGCAGCTACCTCATGGCAGGAATAAACTTGGCTGCCTGCTAGCATATGGACTGAAAATGTCCCTATTTAGTTTGAGTACATATCGAGCCCAACCCTCAGACAAGCTGATTTTCACATATATCTCTCCTTATATTCATGTCTTTTCAACCGTGAATAATTAGCTTGTCTGAGGCAGGGGCTCATATAGAAAATGAACACCTTTTATCCTCAAGTCACTGTAAGATTCTTCTTTCAATCAGCACTACATGTACAAATAAAGCAATCAAAATATTGATCACAAACAATGATTGGCCACATATTGCCTTACTTTTTTACTGGGCACCTTCTGTACCCACATTACAAAATTTCACAGTTGTCACCCTACTATAACTAAAGATATGTAGCATTGCAACTCAGACCCCCCCTAAAACACACATTTTCATGAATATTTGACAAGGTCATTTTGACATTAATTTTTTATATTTCAAATTCAATAAAAAAAAATTTTTTAAGTGGATCATAAAAGTGTAAGACCCTACCTTTAATTTGGCAACAATTTTTTTCCATTCATTCACAATTTATTTTTCATGTACAAAAGTGGGCACTTTTACCCCCTTATTCGCACTCATCCTTTAGTCTTATTAAAAACATATCCGCCTTTTCTATTTATGTCCATTATGATAATTTGTTAGTCATGATCCTAAAGCATCAGAAACTGCTTATTTGACATTAATCAGATGCTGGCAGACGGTGCCATCTCCTGGGAGTCCATTTGCTACTCCGACGAGCCCCATAGTCAAAGCTTGCTATTTTATATCTTGCCAGCTTTTTTAAAAGAAATTATTTCATCTGGGTTACAAAACTTAGAAAAGCTTATAAGGTTGACTTTATTTGCCAGTTGATACATTCGATATATTGATAATTTTTCAAAATTCAAGATGGCCGTCAATTTTTTATATGAATAGCGAGAGGCATACATTCAAATAAAAATTTTGATGCTTCACTCCATTGTTCATCATTGCATATTTATGTTTATATACATGCAAAGTGCGATCATTTATTTCATTTTGTAAGTTAATTTAATAAAAAAAATGGCCTCCAAAACATAATAGAAAGGCAAAAAAACAACTGTAAAACTACAAGGCTTTTAACTGAAATAGACTTTAACTGGAACAAATATAAATACATATATAAAGTAAAAAACGATATACCTGCGTTCAAGACATAGCACACAATAAAACATATTTTTAGGTTAAATGATACGAAAAACGAAAACCAGTACGTCCGTCAATGCTACTCTATGATCAAACCAAACGCTGATTGCGGATATCTCAGTCCTGACAACTAGTTTTT